GGGCCCAGTCTTTGGTTTGTTACCGGCTTGAAGCTGGTGAATATGATCACCTTGGCTTCTAAATGACAACATCTCAAGAGTTGTGATATCCTCGCGAGTTGGCATGTAGTGGATTTAGAAACCAATGTTCTCTCAAGTGCACAGTCTCTCCAAACTCTCACGAACAAAAGTGTTTGCCGCATGTTGTCGCCGATGTCTGCCAAGCGTGTGCGAGTGTGTTTTTTGATCATGATAGGATTGCTGAGGCTGCCTGGGTGGTTTCTGAAATGGTGCCTTACATTTGCATGAGCTCCCAGCCAGCTTGCATCGAGTGAGACTGCGCAATACTTGAGACTTGGTAAAACACAACACGTTGCATAGCGCCCATATTCTCGTTTTATTCTCAAAATATACAATACACTAGTGAAAACGGTTGAGAAGTTTGATGGAAAATCACAGATTTCATACACAATTATCATTGATTGCGATACCAACAATGTACTTTTGAATGCAAAGTGCATTGAAACCAATGCAAAGTGCATTATGGGCAATGCAGTTTACAATGCAAGCTACATTGGCCCCAATGCAAACTGCATTGGCCCCAATGCAAACTACATTGTAACACAATGCAAACTGCATTGTGCAGATTTGAAACTACATCGGAACAATGCAAACTACATTGCCCACATTGAAACCGATGTAAACTGCATTGTGTTTATACAAAAGGGTATTATAGGGAATGCAAACTGCATTATGCGCAATGTAAAGTGCATTGGGGGCAATGCAATTTACATCCAAAACTGCATTATGTATAATGCAGTTTGCATTGGTTTCAATGCACTTTGCATCCAAAACTGCATTGAAAACAGTGTGTTCACTAGATTCTGGCATGATACTTGTGAGATTTGCATGGGGAATTCAACAAGTTGAGCCTTTTTGAGCGATGCACGTTAGTGGATTCGCAGCATTTGTAGAGGCAAAGGCGAACTTGTGCCAAAGAGCAATGAGTGAAATTGAAACTCAGCTTGATGTTCATGAGAGACCTGAGGATGAACTTGTGGTCGAGGTGCTTCCACCAGGAAACTAACCATTTTTGGACCCGACCAACCGGGGTCCCCAATTTTAGGAGATCGGCTTGAGAAGTTTCTCGAATAAACCTCGGACCTATTTTCCTGGCCTGAGGAAATACGCTCTTGCCGGGCGTTCTGTTTTTTTTTTTTTTTTTTTCTGACCCCCCCCCCCTCCCCCGCCCGCACACTTTTGCCCCCGCCCCCAAAATGGGGGCTGGGGCCAAAAGATCAAGTGCCCCCGGATCCGTTGGTGTTTCGTGGCAATTTGTTGAGCAATGGGCTTTGCCGTTTCCCAGGTGGCAAGTGGCGGTCAAGGGCACGCGTGATTTTCGGTTTGTGAGTTATACTTTCCAGGTCTCCAACTGAGACATCAACGGGCCTTGGGCTTTGGGTCCTCAAGTAATGTTGACGCCGGATGAATAAACCCCTGCTTATTGTTATGGGGGGGTTCCCCTCCAAAAGTGAGAAATCCACACTAAAACCAGGGACACCCCCCATATGTACAAACAGGGGCTTATTATTCCGGGGTCCACATTCTGTGGTTTTGATCGGTCAGTTTGTTTAGAAATAGATGGGTTCGACTGGTTTAGATGGGAATTTCCCGCCCTCGCTTGTGCCAAAAGGACACTTGTGCTTCCGAATTGACCTTGCTGGTTCCCAGCCTTCCGGAGGTTCCTTCGGTTTTTAGGGGTTTGGTTGGTTAAATGGGGGGGTGCGCAACACGCGAAAGGTGAGGTTTTTGTTGAGCAGAGCAGCCCTTTGTTTTTGTTTTGCACTCCAGGGATGGTTCGGGGAGCCCAAAGGACCCTCTTTGACCATCCTTGATTAATTCAGGGACCAAGCCCTTACAGTCCTGACCGCTCGGGAGTGATTGGCTTCCCCTTTTCGGGAGGTTTGTTTTTCAGGGGTTTGCCAAGAGGGATGGAAGAAGAAGGAGATGTGGCGTCTTCTCACTTTGAGTTCCTGGACTTGGGATCCTGGACCTCCCCCGGCCCAATCCACTCGATGGGAGCGGTTGAGCCGCGGAAGCGTCGAAGGCGAGGACCAGAGCTTCACGGGGCAGAGCAACAGCTCGGCGGCGGCCCTGGAATCGAAGCGTGGGTTCCGGACCTGAGACCAGTTGGTTGCTTCCTTGCTTGTGTGCTTCTTCTTTTTGTATTTTTTTGGGGGGAGGGGTGAGGGGGGAAGGGTTGGGTTTGTTTTGTCTCCGGACCAGTGCCCCCAGTTGCCCAGTGTGTTGCTTCCTTGTTTGTTTGTTTTTTCAGGGAAGGTTTCGATTCCTTTAAAGTCAAGCAACCAAAAAATCTGTGTTTTTTTTTTTTTTTTTTTTTTAAATCTTGGTCATTCCAATTCTCATTCCCTACTGAGGACCAACAAGATTTGCTGAACTTTATCTGCACTGTTCTTGGATCGAGTGTTGTTGTTTATTTGTTTGTTTGGTTCTGCTGGTAAAAAGTAGGCGGCTGCGAAAAGCAAAGTGGTTGCTACCTTACCAAGGGTTGTGAAGTGATGGCTATTTTGTCACGGATCTTTGGACCTTAACTTTTTATATACATGTTGGCTGAAACAGTAGATTTTCAGAATTGGACCCACAAGTAACAAATGCAGAGAGGTGAACAGCAACCACACCACCTTGTTTCGCGGTGGACCCACTCCTGACAAAAGGAACCGAAATATACCGCTACTGGAATTTTGTTTCGGGACTTGCGCAAATGAAAGGCGATTTGACTTTTCGTTGAGCTGGAACCACCGAATTCTGGCTGGACATGAATCGGACTCGAATTCTGATGTCCACACGAAGGGGTGCATGCTTAAATGGGGGTTGATCAAAAGGTCCTTTACGTGGGGTGGTCGTTAGGGAAGCCACCAAAAGAAGACAAACAACGCTAAATTGGAAAGCTACCCATGGTCATTTTGTGGCCAAGAATACTGATCCAGCTCCAAAAGGGCGTGTCGTTTGGAGTTGGTACCCTTTTCAAGGTTGATGAGGGAAGCCAAGAAGAACACCATTCTTCAATTACCCCAAAGCGGACATCTTCGCCGACGTCAAAGAAGCAAGAATGCCTTGCGCTGCCGTGGCGGTGGTGCACGATTTTCAACTCCTCCCGCACCCGCAGCAATTTGGCCATGGGTCAAAACCCAAATCGTACCCCCAGTAAACATCCCAACCCCCTCTAAAATAGACTAAAACGGGTGGTGCACCTACTTCAAAATGGTACCATTGGTTTTGACCCACAGCAATTTGTTTGCGCAACCTCCTGAACGAGCCGAAACACCGCGAAATGTCCCGAGTCAGAGGTTGCTCATGGGCTTGGCCCGATACGGGCGAACCAACAACTTCACTTCACTCCGCAATGGACTAGCTTCCTTACGCTTGCACTGAATGGCTGCATAAGTTCAGCGGTTCAGCACATAGGTGTCCTTGTTTCTTGTCAGAAAATAGAGGGCGATTCCTGGATTGCATGGTGGTTTCATCATCTACCAGGGAAACCCATCTATTTCCCAGGGCAAGGCTCCCGACTCCCCACTTTCTCGGCTGTTGGGGGCCCTTCTTGGATGGGCTGAAAGCCTGCCTGGTTGGACCCCCAATTTGAGAAGCACCTCGTTTCTCGGGGAAAACAATTCTTTGGACTCTTTCTGACCAATGCATTCGAGAATTTGTCGTCACGGCCTGCACGCACTCACGTTGCTTCGCGACCTCCCTTGAGGGAACCTTGTCGCAGCTGTATCCTATGAGTGCTCCCGTGCATACTCTGGTTGAAGTTGGAGTCTTTCCACCGAGGATTCTCTTCCATCTGCCCGTTTGCCAGTTTTGAGCTAGTGAAATAGCCCATATCGAGAACATCACCTTCTCCTCAGGTCAAAATGTTCGTTTTTTATCGCATGCCCAGCTTGAAAAGGAACATCTCATGGTGCAGCTCCCTGGGACTCTCCAACTCCGGAGTTGATCGACTAGGTCCCCCAAGGTGCCCGACCTCTCACCGTTTCCTTTTTGGTTTGGAGGGAGTCTACAGCAAGAAGGGTACCCAAATTCTAACCTCACTACTGGAGGAACGAGTAGAACGCACACACAATTGAACTTGAAGGGGCATGGCGGGGACGAGCTCAACATGTCAACCACAAAAGCTGTTCGAAATGTGTGGTCATGTTTTCTGCACCAGCTGTGTTTGGCCAATCTGTGATGGGAATCCCGGATTTAGCAGATCTTCACTGGAGGGGAAGGGAAACACCCCCCTATGAACAAATCCGAATGATTCATCTAGGGTCACATTGGCTGGCTCACTTCCTGACTTCCTGGACTTTACACTTTTTTCTATTGCCATTTCTTCATTTGCTTAAGAATATGTTTTATTTCCCCTTTTGGTTTTAAAGGGAACCTATCACTACTGGACATGTTTTATCATTTTTTCCAGGGGTCTTAACCAAATGGAAGATTTTAGTGGCAAGCAAAAAGTTTTGAATGGCTTCCGGCCAATCCACTCGATCGGAGTGAGCACTAGGTTGATTGATCCCATGAAACGGCTGCACGACACCAAGCGCAAGTCCCTCTAGGTGCCCCAGCTAGGTGCCCTTTCACCGTTTCTTCTTAAATAGACTACAGCAAAAAGTTGGTACCATTATTCTAACCTCTCTACTGGAGGACCTAGTCTTCGTTTGGAGGTTCCCCAAAACGGGTGTGTCTCTTTTGGGGGGTGTCTTTGAGCCATTTTGACCGGGCAACGGGACGTTCCAGTGCGCCTGCCTCCGGTGAGGTGGGGCGAAAGCGCGCGACGTGGGCCCTGGCCAATTGTAGTCCGCGAGATGCCAACGGAAGAGGCAAATCATGGTTGTTGGGAAGCATTTTGCATTTTTGCTTATTGTGTGGTTTAGTGGGAAATCCCCACTCAACTGCTGAAATTCAAATTGTTGCTCCCCTTCCAACGTCAACCAATAAATGGGCATGTGGTTGAAATGGGCATGTGGTTGAAATAGGGATTTCCCACACACACACACACACCAAAAAGAAAAACGCAAGAAGACAAAGGTGTTTTTTTTTTTATGGGTTACGGTATGTGTCAAGGGTAGGGATGGATTGGACCCCCCCCAAACAGAAGCAAGGAAAAGTGGGTGTCCGTTTGGGTTCCCTTTAGACCAACCACAAGCAAGCGGGACCCTGAACACACCAGTGGCGATGATGTTTATTTTATCCAACACCCTGAAGCATGACCATGTCGATCTTCAAAGACACCCAGCTATGACACATACCCAAATATGTATGTCCCAGTCTCCCTTGGGGTGGCTGAACGCAAGGTAGTGGTCTTTTCACATGTGTGACACGTTCCATGTGAAAGGTTGCGAGATGATTTCATCAAACAAGCAAGTATGGAAAAGAAAAAGAACAGCGTCAACGCAACGAGCCAAAGGTAACGTGTCGCCTGTTGAGCGGGGAAGTTTAGAAACACCTGACGTGTTTTTCTTGGGCCCAACTCCGGGGGTCCATCAAAGACCCGAAATGGCTGGTCTGTCTTGAGGCTACTTTGATTCGGTGGCTTTTTAAACGGATGCCGAAGAAAACCACTGGTTCGTTTGTGTGTGTGTTTTTTGGGGGGGGAGTAGCCGAAAGAAGGCCATGTCTCTGTTGAGACTCGTTTACTTGCACAGCGAATCGACCCGATCTGACCTTTAGTTTCACCTTTTTGGTCGTTCAGTGGCTCCAAAAGGTTCACCTTTGATTTCTGGGTCCGTTGGGACCAGAATCCAAGGTGGACCCGCCACTTGGGAATGGTTCATCCAAGCGAGGGGTCATCCGTCCCTGAGATGGATGTGTGTTTGTCCGGTATCTTTTGGGAGTTGCGGAGGCCAGGGTTCACTTTTTGGCGGCCATCTTGAAGTGAAAGTCATGGCTCCCGTTGCTTAGGATTTTGTTTCTCCCCCCTGCTGGTTTTAAAGGGAATCCACTGGACATATTTTCAGTCTTCCCAGGGGACTGAAGCACACGGAGGCTTTTTGGGGTCCCAATTTAACGTGAATGAATTTCTTATCGGGGTGATGTTGGGTGGCTAGGTCCCCAGTAGTGCCCTTCTACCCTTTTTTGGGGGAGTGTTCCCCTACTAAAATATTTTCTACAGCAAAAATAATCGGGTACCCTTATTCTAACCTCTCAAATCTGGAGGACCTAGGTGGGACATCTCTTCAAAGAGGTGATGCTCGGCTGTCATACGCCAGGTACTACTCGGTGAAGGCCAAGCCCGTGGCCGGCCTGCAGCTGAGGACTGGTGCGACATGGGATGCGTCTTTCCAGGTCCCCAAAATGACTTATGTGGAACCCCAGAATGGTGCCCCCACCCCTCTTTCTGGGGTCGCCTTTAATCTAAAGCGACTTTCTTGTCTTGAAGGTTGCCAACAATCGAAACAGAAGCTGACCATCGCAGCTTTGGGGTTTAGCTCCCGAATCGATTTGGGCCAAGCTTTGGGAAGATGTAAACAGCCACCTTGGCAACCCAGGATGAATCAACCCCAGGTTGAGAATGTGGGGTGATCCATTGAAGCCCAAAAGATGATTCCGAACATGTGACAGGTGACTTGTTGGGGTGGGGGGGGGGAGGGGGTTCCTCAGGTTGCCCTACATGGTCAATCAGAGGGTTGCGAATGAGGGATCCAAAATTCGGTTGTGGGGTTTCCTCTTGGTTTCCCTCTAAACCAATCAAAATTGTTTGGTCAATGTCTCGAAAGGTGTCCTTTCATTCCAGGTCGGTCGTCCGGGCGAGTGAGGTATGTCTTAGGCCAGTCTGGGTTGCACTTGGAAGTGTTGAGCAAATCTGCATGCGAATTTTTGAACACGGACACACACTCCTGGAACTCATGGGCCTTATACGTTTCAGGAAAGTCATGTTTAGTGGCAAACACAAGGATTGTTTGAGTTATTCTTTGTTTTGGTGGGGGGGGGCAACCCACTCAGGGAGTGGGCAAAATCGTTCGAACTACCCCAGATTCCGTTGGAAGAACCCAGCATCACGACGCGCCCTGGCGGGCAGGAGACCGGTTTAGATGGGTTTTATGCTCCACCAGGGTCCCGAAACCCATCCATTTCTCCAAAAGGTCATGCTGGTTTGCCAAACGAACCATGAGGAACGCGATACCTTCCAGACAGAGTTCAAAGGTCGGTTCCGCTGGGCTTCTTTGGCGAAAGAGAGGGGTGGAGAGGAGGTAGAAGGAAAGGGAGAGGAATGGAGGGCAGGTTGGATGGAAGCGAGAAGGATGATGACTCTCTCTCTCTCTTGATCTCTGGCATCATCCCCTTCCATCTCCTTCCTCTCACATGCCAGGCTGTTTCCAATCTTTTCTTACCTGGCCACACCTCTATCTCAGGGAAACGAGCGACGAGGCGAAGGAAGAAGTGGGTGAATGAGATAGAGACAGGCCGCTACTAAAAAAAGACTCAGAGAATAGCGGCCCACTCTCTCATTCCTGAACCAACTCACGGCCGCAGACGGGAGATGGGAGAAAGAATGGCTCTCTCTCTCTCTCTCTCTCTTTCTTCTCTCTCTCTCTCTCTCTCTCTCTCTCTCTCTCTCTTTTCATTTCCTGTTTCCTTTGCTCCGCCAGTCACCAGTCCATGTCAAAGAGAAAGAGAGAGAAGTGAGGAAGGAATATGAGATAGTGAGATGTCCAGAGGAAACGATGGGACTGAATGGATCTCTTCACCACTTTCCTCACCGCTTCCGGCGCAGCAGCGCAGACTGAAACTGCACCAATTGCCCTATAAACTTGATGTTGTAAAGCCAGCTCTCCTTGGGACATCAAAAAAAGGTACTCAAGATGGAACCCTGGCAAATCGAAACATGGGCTAAAACCTGCGCGCCACTTCCTGGTGCATTGATTTTGACCCATACCCACTTTTGCATTGCCACAGTCCAAACCCACCACGCGAAAGTGAGACATGGCCGGTCTGGCCATCCTGATGGCCAGGAACTAGTCCTTCATTGGGGATGAGCTTTCAATGTTCCCCGCAGTTTTTTCCTTTTTTTCCGGGTGGGTCGCAGGAGCCTTTTCCCGAACCTCGAGAAGGATGACACGCCCTCGCCGCGGGTGCTGCAGTGCGGTCCCGAGGGCCCGAGCATGGCGCGTCCTGGCGCGGTTTTTTTTGGTGGCTGCCCCACTAAAAAGGGTCTTCCCCAAAAAGGGTCCCCTTTTTTTCCAGGGTCACTGAACCCCCGAGATTTTTGGTTGGTGGTGTGAAAGGGAAACCAAGAGGAACTCCCACCGTTTTTTTCTTTGGAGTGGGGGGTCCGATTCCTGAAAAGACACCGAAACGGCGTCCATGAATAACATCCTACCAAGAAGCCTAAAACACATCCTCCGCTTGGACACTCAGGCCAGGGAAAGGTGAGGCTTCTATTTGCAGCTCCTTTGCGCAAGCCTAAGATAAAGTCATCTTGCCCTCGGCCTGAATTGGTGCCTAAGGATCTGAACTTCTGGTCATTTTTGAGTCGGAAACCATACCCTAACCTCGAAACCAGCGAGCCCCTCAATAATTAGCTCTCAAATGGGTGGCCATTCAGCTGGTAGAGAGAAGCTGACGTTTGGAAAGCCATCCCCACCTCTTCCACCCCAGCCCACCCCTACCCTACCCTCCACCCGTCCGCCAACCACCCCCACCCCCCCCCACCCTCCACCCCCCAGCCTTTCCCTCCACCCCCCAAACCGAGGTCCGTGAGCTCTCTGGTGGTCTCCAAGGCGGCCGGCCCCCTGGGCCGCCGTGCCCTGGCGCGGGAGGACAACAGCGGCTCCGCCGGGAGCCCCGGGAGCGCTCGGCGAGAGGCACCGAGGCACCGAGAGCCGAGCCAAAGGCAAGCAGACGGGCCAAGCACCGGGCAGGGAAGCGGCGGCACCGGAGCGCGTTCTTTTTGGGCCGTTCAGTTTCTCGTTTCTTGTCCAGAATGTTGGCTCCCCTTTTGGAGGTGTTGCTTTTTTGGGGGCCCCCTTTGGTTTTCCACGAACCAGGCAAGTCATAGTGGTGTTCCTCGATCCTGATTCCAGCCGAACCCCTCTTTTGGTGTGTTTTTGCAAAAGCCGCAATTTTCTTGGGTCCCCCGGAGGGAAAAAGCAAAAACAAAAAATGATTCTGATTATATTTCCGGAAAACATATATTCCAAAGTAACCCTTCACAGGGTCAGAATTTGAGTTATCATCTACAATCATACACCTCAATAGGGAGTTGAGAGACCATTGTACATACCGAGGTCTCCCCAAATGAGGCGCCCCGCAATTGAGGCTCACTTAGGTTTTGTTCAGCAATATTGGAGCCATACAGGGCTCCATGTGGCCTTTCTTTGTGGATTCAACATATGACCTCTGCAGAAAAACGCACCTGAAAAGATACCCAATCTTGATGGCTATTGCGTTTGATCGTTTAGACCCTAAGTTTGTGGGAAACAGGCTGGAGTTTCCATTGAACCCACAAAAAGTTTAAACTTTTTTGCAGAGGGCTCAACAGTATCTAAGACGTGCAGCCTTAAAAAAAGATCCAGTTTTGGAACAAGTTGCGGCGCTTGTGTGTTGACGAATCCCTTTGTGATCAACCCTGTTCAATGATTGCCTTTGAGCAGGAATGGCCAGGTCGAGTGCTAATTGCGAGAGCAGAAGCAGTCGTGCCTTCAAACACAAGCGAACAATCACTGACTTGCCAAAAGCCAATCTTCCTGTAACCTGCTGGTTTCTAGGTGGGTTCCCTTGTTTACTTTAGGTTGAAGTGTTCACCGTAATTTGTGGGACTAAGTGAAGCAACACACGCCATGTGTTTTTGGGAGTCCTGCCTGGCAAGCGAGAATAAGTGTCACAACTTGCGTTCCTCTTTCAGAGTTTGATCAGCTGTTTGGGGGCTGGGGTTTGATTGGCCCCGAGCCAGTTTTGTTGGGCACAGAAACTAGGAGGCAAGATTGATTGTCAACAAACAAGTTGGGAGTTGGAGCAAACTGGTTCTCCCAGTTGTTGACTGCAGTTCGCCTGCGCTGTTGGCTCGGATGCCGCGCGAATCGTGGATGGACCGCCGGCGATTTGAGCAACTGGCAAAGGCACAGGAAGTCGGTCTATGGTCACTCTGGGGAACCCTTTCCAAGTGGGGTGCGGCCAATCTCAGGCAAGTCCCGAAAATTGTTTTGGGGGTGGGTGGGTTCTGAAAGGAAGCGAGGAGCGCTCCTAAGTTGGGGCGAGAAAAAACTTCCGGACCTCCGGGTGCCAGGCCCCCCAGTGCCCTTTCTCACCGTTTCTTTTTTGGGGTCTTGGGTTCCCCTACCAAAATGGACAGAACAAAGTTGGTACCAACTTATTCTAGCCTCTCAAATCTGGAGGACCTAGCAAAGACAAAGCCTTTTTCGACCTGTCCCGCCCCCGAGCCCCGAGCCCCGAGCCCCCGGCTCCCCCCGGCTCCCCCCGAGCGGCTCCCGATGCCGCTGCGCGGGCTGCGCTTTGTGGAGCGGGATGTGGGCACCGCCCAGAGCGCCGCGGAGGCGTTCTCGCGGGCGGGCGCCGTGCCGCTGCGGGTGCTGCAAGGCGAGGGGCCGACGGCCGGGGGGGGCTGGGGGATGGGTGGGGGGCTGATGGGTGGGCGGGGTCTCCGGGATCGGCATGGAAGGAACGTTAAAAAACAGAGGGGGAGGAGGGTTCCTGAAAAGGAGATGTTGCTTTGAAAGAATTGTAATTCCTTCAGCCCTTGTTGAGTTTTACATGCTAGCCTGGCATAGATCACCTCCCAACGTGGGAGTTTCAATGGAAACCACCAGTAGGTTGCAACCTTCTTGGGGAATTCCAGTGTCTGTCGATTCCTTTGAGAACTAGCCCATTACCCAAGCGCCTTTAAACATCCCCCCACATGGGAATGCACGACTCGCACAACGAAAGAAGGAAACGTGCACTGACCGGCAGGTGTGGACCAACAGATCATAATTTTCTTCATGGTGTCCCTTTAAAGGCCAAGGTGAAAGCAGTATGCTTCAAAATCGCACACCGATGAACGTGCTTCTGGAAGATACTCCAGATCAGTTGGACACGCCCTCCAACCATCAGGCCCCGAAGACGGCTGTGTCAAGTGCCACGCAAGTGGCGAAAGTTGCCATCACCGATCTGATGAGAGAGGGGAGGCAGTGGCCGCTTTCTTCATGCCACTTGTGGCAATGTCAAAACAATCGAGGCGCATCCCAGGTCCGAATTCACGGCGTTTTTTTTTTTTTTTTTTTTTTTTTTGCGGGGGGTATGCACGAGACGTTGGTTTGGTGGATCCATCCGTTTTCGCAGCCGGATTTGTTGTTTGTCAACACGGCTGGAGGTATTTTCTACAAACGCCCGGAAACTTTGGATTTACTTCAAGCTTTGCATGGTTAATGTTGGACCCTCTTTACACCACCCCCTCCCCCCTCGCTAGTGGAACCAGTCAGCCGGATCCTCTTTAGGCAAAATCCTGCTATAATAGAGGGTGCTATGAATAAAGGAGGTGTAAGATTAAGAATCAAGGCCCTACACCTTTGCGGGTCAGCTTGGCCAAGCCTATTGCTTTGTTGGGCTCACCTTTGTCGCATCTCAGACAGATTGAGGGGAAGTCCAAATCTCCGATGGGATGATATACCCGTCCTCATCCAAGCCTCGGAACCTTTTGCTTGGGGGTACTTTACCACATGGTTGTTGTTGGGAAGCATTTTACATGTTTCCTTGTTGTGGTTTAGTCGGAAATCTCACTTAACTGCTAAATGGTTGCTCCCCTTCCAACATCAACCAAGACCAATTCAAAAGTCCAGTCAAATAACCATATAGCTTAAAGAAGTTTGAAGGTCACTTTAGACCATGACGTGACTTTCTTTACTTTTGATAGCCACTGGTCCTGACATCCTCCCTTGGGTTGAGACCAGACCTGCTCCGAGGGGACCTCGCGGCTGTTGCGCGAGGGGCTCACGAGGGCCTCACGATCGCGGAGGGCGAAGGCGAGCCCAGGCTCCAATTCCAAGGTTGCCCGGCGGAGCCACTGCAATGCTGCACGCACATGCTGATCCGGAGGTCGCTGTCAATTTGGTGATTTGGGATTTAATCACATCTTCGCAGTGAGCTTGACCTTTGACCTACTTGGCAAGGTCAAAGATGCAGATCGCCCTTCCGACCCAGTGCGTTCTTGTGAAGCCATCAAGCACAGCCCCGCGCGCCTCTTCGAGAGGTACTGTTTCCGGGGGGGCTGCAAGCGGCGCTGCCAGCGCTGGCAGCGCCGCTGGCGGCGCTGCTGGCAGCGCTGCTGGCAGCGCTGCTGGCAGCGCAGGCTCCAAGGCCGAAGCTGCTTTGTGGCCTGGCGAAGGGGTTGGAAGGGTCGTGAGGAAAGGGCGCCGCGGAAGCGTTCGGCAACCGACGAGCTCACCCAAACTCAAGCCGGAACCTGAAGGGAAGCCCGACTGGCAGTGTGTTTTTCGGGGTACGCGGAATGCAAAGGAAAGCCAAGAGTCCCGTTGATTTTTCCTCGGTCACCCTTCCTTGCATCGTTTGCCAAACCTAGCGCCCACTCAAGCTCGGATCTCACTGCCTGAGTTCCTGGACTTCAGGCACCTTTTGAGGTTATAGGTTCCACGCGGCAGTCACACCATCACAACTTGCCCCCGCCCACATCCCCCCACACAACGCGTTCCCGCCACATTGAATGCGCGCAAGTTTCGTGGTAAACAACCAGCGTTTTGGCAAGCGAGGGATTTCTGCTACAGATGCTTTCGCCTTGGCCCGTGGAGTTGGCCGGTGGAATGTTCCGGGTAGACAACAAACATCAAAGCCGGTTTCCATGCAAAGTCGAATCCCTCCAAACCCTCCAAAATGCTTCAACTTGCCGATATATCCCTCTCCCCTTCCCCCTTTTTTCTGGCCCTCGCCGAGCGGAGGGGTTTTCCAATTCGAGGCCGCCGCTTCCCCTGGAATCTACGGGCCGGACCTTCCTCATCTTCGGGGCCAACTCCGCGGGGATCGCCTCTGGAGCCTCGGAAAGCGGTAAAAGGCAACACATCCAAAAACATTGGTATGGGATTTGGGGTGAGCCTTGGAAAGTGATGTTGGGTATGTGTCCAAAAGCATGGTTGGGAAAGATTTGAACCCTTCTTGCTTCGCTTGCTTATTGTGGTTTAGTGGTTGAAATCCAACCACTGAACTTCCAATTTCAACCAAGCATTGGAAACTCGTGGGCGCGGGGGTTCAAACCTCACGGGGTTGCCACGATTGCCAGGGAAAAGCTCGAACATGCGTGTCCAAAATAGAAAAATGCCCCAAGAAAAGCTCCATTGGTTCCCATTTTACAGGGATTCCTCGAAACCTATCCACTTCGCAGGGTTTGTCAGAGGAACTGATCAACCAAATTTGTGTCCAAAATAGAAGCTGTGCCCCTCCCCCCTTTTGGCACGGGGTTCAAACATCACCCAAAAAGCTGATCAACCCATGTGTGTCCAAAATAGAAAGGGCCCCAACAAGTTGTGCGGTCTTCTTTCTCGTTGGTGTCTCTTTTAACCAGCCACAAAACTTCCAGTGGCTGAAATGAAGATGCTTTATGTCTTCTCCTGTGGGTTTTTCAAGGGAATCTATGACTACTGGACAGATGCTCTCATCGTTTTCCAGGGGACCTCAGCAAATGGAGGCAGGGTGTCCGAGCCATTTCCTCTCTCAGGCACCCTGAAGTGGCAGTTTCAACAGAAACCACCAGTAAATCTCCTTTGGGCTGAGCTCATTGGCTGTTTCTGGGGGTCAAGTCAGAAACTGGGTTGCTTGGTTGTTGTTTCCCTTTAAACCTACCAATGACTTGTAGGGGCCGACTTTGAGTAGAATCATGGGGCCAGTTTAGTTGCCACATTGACATGAGCTTCCTCTTGGAATGATGATTAAAGCCGGGCCGCTTTGGCTTCAAACATCACGTTGGCCCTAAGGCGAGTTTTCTTGGTCGAAATCTGTGGTGGGAAGGTAAGTGCAAGAGGCCCATACGTTTGTGTTCTAGCTGGTTTCACAGGGGCTAGGAGTGCTAAGGCCTATATGAAGCCCTTTGCTTGCTTCCTGAGTTCATGCACTTTAATCATTTTTGCGACGACAATTGTAGTAGCACCCAAAATCTTGTTGGTTGTCTTCAGTTCAGTCAGGAAGTGAGTGTATCAGCCCGAGAAAATGGACTTTAGTCACATGTGGGGCAGGGGTTTTCTCGAGCCAAAAGACTTTTGTTGGCCCACCTTGAAATCAGTGGCGGAAGGGCAAACTGTCCTTATGGGACCTCGGGGATTGAAACGGCCAAGAAGATGGGTCCCCCCAAAAAGAGACAAAGCCGGATGGGTTCTTGTTTCAGTTTGGTGGCTCAAAGCCCCTCGCTTATGGGGATATCCGTTGGAATCGCCCCATAGATAGACCAGCGTGAAGCCTTGTGAATGAGGAGATTGACACCCTGTCAACTGTGGTGCCAGGGCTCAATCCCTTCAATGTCCCGCCGCCTGCAGTCCAAGCCGAGTCGCTAAATCGGAAACCAGCTGCGTGTTTGGTTGTCAACCGTCCCTTGAGGGGAATCTGATTTTCCAGCCACTTTGCGAGGTACAAAATTTGAGTAGATACCCGGATGTTTGTTCTTCCAAACAGCATAGCTGTTGGGGTTCTCTATTCATGCGAAGAATCGCTCACAGTGGTACCCCTGCTGTCTCCCAACTTGTCCCTGCTTGATTCAGACCTTGTCTCGTCTACCCACTTTTCTACTTGTCTCCCCGATTCGGACCTTATCAAGGCTTGTCTCCCCAGTTGTCCCCCACTTTTCTCCCCGCTTGTGCTTGCTCTCTCAGGCCTTGCTACGGCTTGTCTCACTTGTCTCCTCACTAGTTTCCCCGTGTGGCGCTGCTTGCGCACGTCCGCTTCTTCTTTTTCATGACACTTAGTTGTGCTTTTGTTACTCAACAACTTGGAAAACAAAACTGCCATAGATCCGATAGACTTGACGACGACGAGTTGATCACCCAAGTGGCTGTTCCTCGACTCATGCAAGCCATACGTTGACTTGACAGCTTGATTTGGCTGCCCCAGACATGGGTATGAGCCAAAATTACACCACCAGGGGAACGCAGGTTTTAGTCCATGGTTCCATTTACCAGGGCAACCCATTTTGGGGTTACCCCCATTTTGCACCCACGGCCACATGGTTTTCGCTTGGCCCGTGCTGCCCCTGGGCCGCTGCGCGTCGATCGATCCGAGGCGGGCTGCAGCGGGCCGTGGCAGAGGCCTTCCCAGCGCAGTTCGAGGACTCCAAACCGACGGGGGTTTGGGACAGGGGGGCCACTTTTTGCCGCCTTTTGGTGGGGAAAAAGGAGCGACCCTTTTTGTAGTGAAGGATTCCTTTTTGAGGGGCCGCCATTTTTTCACCCACGAGTTGGGATGTGTCAAAGGCGTGGGGGTTTTCGACAGATCAAGGTCCCCCAGCAATTGGTGCCCTTCTCTTCCATTCTAAAATAGACTACAGCAAAAAGTTGGCACCCTTATTCCAACAGAAGGGGTCGTCCTGGGGGCTGCGTTTTTCAGATTCCTGGGTATTCAAACCTCTCTACGTTACTGGAGGACCTAGCAAAGGAAGGAGTTTGGGGGGATTTTTGATCCGCCTGCTGCAGTCTGCAGTGTTTTTGTTGATGATTTTTCATCACACACCCCATCGCCACAAACACCTGCTTTCTTTTTCGAAATGGGACCTGTGCTGGGTTGGGCGGGTTCCGTTACGAAGCAAGAACCTCAAAGAAAGACCCAGCATGGAAGAGCCGACGAATTGGCCTCAGCTTTCTACTTCAGTTCCCTTCAGGGGGCCTTTGGGGGGAGGGGGCGGGGGGGGGGGGGGGGGGTTGGAACCTGCCTGGCACCCGCCTGCCCACAGGTGCGATGTTTAGGGGTCAAGGTGTTTTTTTCGAGGTATGCCAATGTAGTCCAAAAGTTCAGTTCCTGATTTTTCCCCCAAACTCGTTTGTGTTGTTTCGTGGTTTGCTGGACCGGGGGAAGCTGCTCGTGGAACCCCAAACAGGGGCTTCCTGAACCGTTTTGCAGTTGCGGCTCTTGGGGTTCCATGAGAGATTTGCACAAGGGGTTCCCCCCTTGGCCTCCCCCAAAAGAAGTTGACCTTTTTGGGGTTAAGACAGATAGGAAGCAGATTCAAAACAACAGATTGGGAGCAGACGTGGGCCAAGGTTCACAAAGAAGAAAAGCCAAAGGCTACATCAAGTCATGATCATGGGAGAAGAATGTTTGTAATAGTTGAGCCCCTTGCACCCCTTGAAACTTATCAACAACAATGCCTAGTCCAGGCCAGAAGCCTGCAAAACCAAGGTGCCAGTAGAAACTTGCCAGCCCATTACGTGTCTAGAATAGGAAGGGGCCCCAAGACATGGTGTTCTTTCTTTTGGTGTCTCTTTAGACCAGCCCCAAAACTTCCATTTGCTTAAAAATATGTTCCAGTTGTTCTATGACTCTACTGCCTTTGGAGGCAGGGTTTCCGAGCCATTTCCCTGAAGTGGCAGTTTCAACAGAAACCAGCAGTAAATCTCCTTTGGGCTGGGGTCATTGGCTGTTTCTGGGGGGTCAAGCCAGAAACTGGGTTGCTTGGTTTCCCTTTAAACCTACCAATGACTTGTAGGGACCGACTTTGAGTAGAATCATGGGGCCAGTTTAGTTGCCACATTTACATGAGCTTCCTCTTGGAATGATGATTACAGCCGGGCCACTGACTTGGGGCCGACTCTTTAAATCAACCCCAAAAGGGTCTCAAAACATCGCGCCCTCCTTCAGCGTAGGACCTGCGTCGGCAGATCATAAGGGCGAACTGCGAAGAGCCGCAGGCGGGCGGAGTTGGGGTGCCGGTGGCCCCTTCTCCAAAATCGTCCATTTGGTTAAGAATATTTGGTTTAAAAGGAATTTAATGACTAGTTTGGTTAGGAATATGTTGGTTCATTCCAATATGTTATTTTAGTTTGCCTTGTTGGTTTTAAAAGGAATTTATCACTACTGGAAATATTCTTGCTACCCCCCCCCCCCCCATGGACCCTGGCTTTACTGCCTTTTGGTGATGGCAAATCTAGAATCTCAAAATTTATATTATCGAAATGTCCAATTGTGGGTCCCCAAAACCTGATAATTTGGAGCCCGGAGTCCTCCAGAATGTCCCAATATGATACCCTTTCCAAATAGGATTTTACTTCGACTAGAATAGAAATATTGAATATAGTGTAGTAAGGATATAGTATTGAAAAATGTGTCTATGTTCAATCACAGCTTAAATAAGCAAATCCTTTCCAAATAGGAGCTACATTAAAATGTGAATATATTTTCGGGCAAACTCCTACTAATATATAACAAAAGAAGTTAGATGGAAGTGTTCCCCAAATATGATCCAAGTGTTAAATATAATCTAATACGAAAACAACTCAATTAGCTTTTGATAATAACGAGTAAATAGAGACTACTTCTCAAATAGAATTCATATTACATATGGCTAAACATTTAAGGGACTTGTACAAGGAAATTCAAAGTACGAATTGTGTTATTTACATTCTGGCCCTGTTGTAGCATAAGAAAGGTCCGACATTGAACTTGCTAGACGGTGTTCCAAAGGGAAATTTCAAGGGAAGAGAGGTTCGAAATCTAAAACTATCTCGAAACAGGGATTCTAGCTAAACCAGTTGCATTTGAAGTTCTATTTGCACCACAAACAATTTCATTCTATCTCAAAAGGTGGAGGTAGTAGATATGCAAATGTCTGTAGCACTCAACCAACCCGCCACTTCTTGAACGTGTCTTCTGTGCCTGCAAGCAACCCACTACTTCTTGAAAACATCTTCGCTGTCTGCAAGATACCAGACAAGCTGGTCAAAAGGTAGGTTTTGGGGGGGGGCCTACCATATATATATATATATGTATATATATATATATATATATATGTAGTACCCCTAATGATCCTGCGCCTCCCCATAAAATACTGGAAAATACAGTGCTTTTGAACATTACACCTACCTTTGTTTATGTCCTGGAAAGGGGTCAACATGAGCTTAGCTGACATGAAGCTCACCAAAAGCACTTGAAAGTGTGTCTAACCAATAGCTTGAAAGTGTGTCCACTGGATCACCAAGCACTTGAAAATATGTTCCCACCGGATGGAAGATTCAAGATTGAAGAGTACGCAGAAAACTTTCCTGAGAATTGTCAGTCCTGGCCAATAACATTCAAGTTCTTCTAACACTTAAGTGCTTTACCGCTGGATTGAGGATTCAACATTGAGGAGTGCACAAACAACCAGTTTCCTGAGAATCATCCATCCTGGTCAACTCCTAAAAATGTTCAAGTTGCGTATTTTACCACTGGATTGAAGATTCAAGATTGAAATATTTCACGGAAATCTTTTCCGAGAATCTTATTGAACACCGATAGTATTGGGACAACCCTGGAACTTTTAACTATTTTTTGAAAAAAAAAGAAATCTGGGTTCAAGATTCAAGATTCCCAGAGAATATTTTCTCAGATTATTGAAAAATGTTTAAACGTTTTGGCAAATTATGGGATTCAAGATTCAAGATTCCCAGAAAATAGTTTCTTAGGTTCTTGAATCGTGAATCCCATATTTAAAAATAAATAAATATAAAAATAAATCTGAGTTGCTCTTGTACTCTTGGATGTATTCAAACTCTTTCAGATTGCAGATGCTGATGTCCTTGCTTTTATCACATCTGTATGCATCATGCGTATCATATCGTATGACCCCCCCCCCTCCCAATTTTGACACAAATCCAAGAAGGCATAACACACTGGAAAATACAGGTCAAACGCACCAAACCAGGGTCCATGGGAGGGGGGGGGGGGGTACCATATTTTTCTATTTCGAGGGGTCTTAACCAAACGGAAGAAATGGGCGTGTCATGTGTGTGTGTGTGTGTGTGTGTGTGTGTGTGTGTGTGTGTGTGTGTGTGTGTGTGTGTGTGTGTGTGTGTGTGTGTGTGTGTGTGTGTGTGTGTGTGTGTGTGTGTGTGTGTGTGTGTGTGTGTGTGTGTGTGTGTGTGTGTGTGTGTGTGTGTGTGTGTGTGTGTGTGTGTGTGTGTGTGTGTGTGTGTGTGTGTGTGTGTGTGTGTGTGTGTGTGTGTGTGTGTGTGTGTGTGTGTGTGTGTGTGTGTGTGTGTGTGTGTGTGTGTGTGTGTGTGTGTGTGTGTGTGTGTGTGTGTGTGTGTGTGTGTGTGTGTGTGTGTGTGTGTGTGTGTGTGTGTGTGTGTGTGTGTGTGTGTGTGTGTGTGTGTGTGTGTGTGTGTGTGTGTGTGTGTGTGTGTGTGTGTGTGTGTGTGTGTGTGTGTGTGTGTGTGTGTGTGTGTGTGTGTGTGTGTGTGTGTGTGTGTGTGTGTGTGTGTGTGTGTGTGTGTGTGTGTGTGTGTGTGTGTGTGTGTGTGTGTGTGTGTGTGTGTGTGTGTGTGTGTGTGTGTGTGTGTGTGTGTGTGTGTGTGTGTGTGTGTGTGTGTGTGTGTGTGTGTGTGTGTGTGTGTGTGTGTGTGTGTGTGTGTGTGTGTGTGTGTGTGTGTGTGTGTGTGTGTGTGTGTGTGTGTGTGTGTGTGTGTGTGTGTGTGTGTGTGTGTGTGTGTGTGTGTGTGTGTGTGTGTGTGTGTGTGTGTGTGTGTGTGTGTGTGTGTGTGTGTGTGTGTGTGTGTGTGTGTGTGTGTGTGTGTGTGTGTGTGTGTGTGTGTGTGTGTGTGTGTGTGTGTGTGTGTGTGTGTGTGTGTGTGTGTGTGTGTGTGTGTGTGTGTGTGTGTGTGTGTGTGTGTGTGTGTGTGTGTGTGTGTGTGTGTGTGTGTGTGTGTGTGTTTTTTTGAGGGCGCCCCTTTTTGGGCTGGCTTTGCAGGGAAGCCAACGGAGAACCAAGCATGCTGGGGGAGCTCCAATGTTCCTATGCTGAGACAATTTCTTGGGCAGTTTAATCGTCGCCCCAAGGGGGTCCCTTTGGTGGGCAAAGGATTGACTCGGTTTGATGCACGGTGATATAAGCCTAACTGTGATTCGTGGGCTCGAACCCTTGTCAAATAGCAACCTAGGAAGTGACCTCCCTGAGGTTTCTGTGCTATTGAGGGGAGTCCAAATTCGGGCTCTAGTAGATCCCGGGATGCAACCCCTTCCCTTGGTTGAATGTAAAGTGGCACTGCAGCTATATGGGTGTGGATAAAAATTAGACCACCAGGCGACCGCAGGTTTCAGTCCATGTTTCCATCTAGATTCCCCAAATGGGTACCCATTTTGACCCACAGCCATGTTAGTCCTTCTCTTGATGGCTGAAAGGTCATCTTTTGATGCCTCAAGTGAGTTTCCGGTTGTGGGGGCGACCACTTTTGGAGGGGTGTTCAACACCACCCCCTATCAATAGGATGTGTTTATTCATCCGCCCCGCTCTTGGAAAGAGGGCGGTGCACCCTGAAGCATCTGAGCGCGAGGTCTTTGTGAGCCGCGAGGGGCCGGAGCTGTGGCGACTTGGCAGGAGTTCAGCCGTCCTGTTGGGTCTCATCCCAAGCGTTATATTATATATATATACATGTGTTAGGGTAGACTCAAGATTAATCAGAATCTGAACATGTATATGTATATAGTATATAGGTATATAACATAAATATGCAGTTATGCTAATTATCTGTGCACCCCAGATGTGGGTCTGGTTTCAGTTTGGTGCTAATCATTTACAAGGTTCGGTTGCATGTCTTAGGTCTTCGCTTGTCAACTTCATTTCATGAAGCATGGACTCAGATCCCATCACTCTGGTCATTTTCCACAATCCTGCCCATCGATCCAGGCCAACCGCACGGTTATTTGACTTAGTTCCCTTATTCCCCCCCCCCACCCCCCGCCAATAAATGGACGCAGGGGCTGAGCTTAAGCCTCTAATCACACACAACTGGATGTGGCTGGTGTTGTTCCAGAACAAGCAACCCCTGCCCGGTTCAATACCGACATCAGTGACTTTGGGTTCGTCCTGATTGAGGAAACCCTTGAGTTGCTTTGGCCGGAAACAATCCCACTTTCTTCAGATGCCATCCAAAGATAAGCAGATTCTCCGCTTCCAGCCCAAACAAATGTTGCAGCCTTCAACCCCTCGGTTCACCAAATTGCAGTCACCCGTGGGTGTTGAAGCAGTTGGTGCCCCTGTTTCTTGTCGTTTTTTTTTGAAGGGAACCAACGAAAGCAAAAACACCCAGCCATTTTGGGGGGTCCAACTCCCGAAAAGGGAACCCCTCGCGAAGGCTGGTGGCGGTGGTGTGCTTTCCGCGTCCGGCGAAGGACCTCGAGCGCCCGGTCGTCAAACTGGGTGACGTCTTTCCTCTTGGTTTCCCTACCGGAAGGGGGCGGGGAAAGTGAGAACATGTCCACTTGCCAACCTGTTCTTATTTAAAACTACTTGCCCACGGGCTTTTTGATAGTTGCCCTTCCCGAAGGCCCAACGGGGGCAGAGAAGTATGTATAAGGTTGAGTGGCTTTGAACATTACTTGTTGCTTGCCGGGTTCTCTTTGTCCTTAGCAAGAAGTAACACACCATGGCAGTCACTTGGGGGGACACAACATGAAAATGATATGCAGCGTAAAGGGAGCTTCCTCCAGGGTGGTGAAAATCCGGGGACCCTAAACTGAACAGGTTCCGATCGCTTGTACCGTAGAGTCCATGTGGGTGGACCCCCAAACCGGTGGTTTTCCTCTTTGTTTCCCTTATCCACGGAAGGTCTACCCTTAAAAAATGGGCCGCACCCATTTCTTGGAGCTCGATCCATGGGTCAGGGGAAGACTTGCTTTACTTGGTGCGATAAGTAGGGAATGAGAAATGGGACGACCCCTATGAACCATCCAACTGGTGGTTCCCTTTAGGGGAATGCCCGGGTTCATTCCAACTCATTCCCTACTTATCGCACCAGCAAGTGAGCCACAATCAAAACCCGGGTAGATGAAGGTTAGTAAGGGAAAGTCCCAGCCAGAACTAGTTGCGGCCGCCTTCTCAATTCTTTATATGGTGGATAGACCATTTTAATCCCGGGTTTCGATTATGACTCAAGTGCAGACCAAGCCGAAGACCGAAGGTGAGTTGGAATGAACCTGGTTCCCCTAAAGGAAACTAACAGTTGGATGGTTTGGGGTCATTCCATTTCTCGTTCCCATCTCTCGCACCAGCTTATCGTGCAGACCCAACCGACCGAAGGAGCAGGAGCTGGCAGAGAACGGCTTCCTGCGGGCGCTGGAGCTGGCGGAGGACTGCGCGCAAGGCGGCCGTTTTCGGCGCTAGGGCGGCGAAGTGGGCCGCGAAGCCCCGAAACCCCCAAAAGGGACATGGTAGGTTCTGAGGTTCCACCTGTTCAAACCATGGGTTATCTAGGTCCCCCAGCTAGGTGCCCTTTCTCACCCGCTTTTTGGGTTGGGAGGGTTCCCCTACAAAAATAGACTACAGCAAAAAGGGTACCCTTATTCCAACCTCTTTACTGGAGGACCGAGAGTAGGTGGTTCTGAGGTTCTACCTGTTTAAACCCATGGGTTATAGTAAGGACTATATAGACCTTAAGAACCATTTTAGTAGAACCAAAAGTCGCGTTCCTGTTGGGCGGATGTGAACATGGCGCAATTTCCGAGTAAGGACTATATAGTGCCTTTTACCCCCCTGATTCTAACCTCTCTACTGGAGGACCTAGAGTGGGTGGTTCTGAGGTTGTACCTCTTTAAACCATGGGTTATAGGAAGGACTACATAGACCTCAAGAGCCATCTTAGAAGAACCAGAAATCAAGTTCCTGTTGGGCGGATGTGAACATAGCGCAGTTTCTGAGTAAGGAATGTTAAACAGAAGGAAGAAAGGTATTCCTTCGGATTTGGAGCTGGGTTTCAAGTGCCTGGTGCGATTTGTGGTTTTTAGTGTCCGGCACGGGGCGAACAACCCACTTTCTGAGCGGCCCCGGGGGTTGGGACAAGCTCGAGCTGGGTGTTGACCGGTTCATGTCCGCGTGTTCTTGGTGAAACGCGACAGGTTTTTGCACCGAAAGGAACTCAAGTTGGTGTGTCTCTCTTGAGGCTACCTTTTTTTGTTGGGTTGCTCCAAAGGAAACCAAAAGGAAAGCATCTATTTGAGTGTCCTGTGACAAGCAAAACGGGGGCCAAGTGGGTCAAAACCGATGGACGCCCAAACTGAGTTTAGGTGTTCCTTTTGGTTTTGCTCTCCGAACCAAGAATGAACCCTCGATATGCCACAATTTTCATGCATGATCAGATGTTGATGCCCCTCTCGGTTTGTGCCCCATACCGCGGGCGCCCCCAATCAAGCTTCTGCGGGTTGCTTGGGTAGGCCTTCCGCTACTTCGGTGTGAAACCGAGTCTTTTTGCCTTCGGGGGCCTTTGGATTGCGGGGACGGGCTCAGCTTTCCGCAAAGAGCGACGGATGAAATCGTCTAAATTGGCAACCAGCTTAGACTCGGGGGTCCGTTGCGCCCACTTCAATGGGCTCCTTGCTAGGAATTGCACGCCGCGCGTAGTCGGTGGCCATATTTGTCGGATAATATTCAGACAGCCATCCTCGAACCCCCCAACAATCAAACCAACAATTGCTCCAGCCTCTTCAAAAGGGAAAATTATCTTGCAGAATCTCAACGTCGGAGGGTTCCACGGCTTCTGTGCTCGTCATTGGTTGCGTTTCTGCTGTAGAGACTTCCCCTGTTCTGGAAGCCAGCGTTGCCATGACCTTTTGCTTGAGTGTCACAGCTGTGTTCAGAGACTGAGGCCCTTTGGCCATGTGAGAGGTTGTCAAAATTAGGGGCCCTGTTTGGTTTTGAAAGGCGGCACGTACCGGCAGCACCAGGGTCCATGTTTGACAACTCCCCATGTGTTGACTGGTGGCATGGTTGCTGTTGGGCAACATCTTCCACTTCTTCGTTTATTGTGGTTCAGTGGTTGAAGTCCAAATCCACTTCCCTGCCAAAACTTTGTTTTTTTTTGTTGCTCCCCAAACCCAAGGTCAAGGCTTTTTTTGGCCAGCCGAGTCCCCCGAAGAAGCCGCAGGCGGCGACTTCGAGGTGGTCACCCACGCTCTGGGCAGCTTCACTGGACACCCAGGCCGCTTCGGCGCTTCGGGCCCGAAGCTGGGGGAGGAGTTGCCTCGGAGCGGCGAAGTGGGCCGCGAAGCCCCAGCCCCAAACCCCCAAAAGGGCCATGGTAGGTGGTTCTGAGGTTCCACCTGTTCAAACCTTGGGTTATCTAGGTCCCCCAGGTGCCCTTTCTCACCAACTTTTTTGGTTGGGAGGGTTCCCCTACTAAAATAGACTAAAGAAAAAGGGTACCCTTATACTTATTCTAACCTCTCTACTGGAGGACCTAGCCAAGGTTTGTTCCGTCTGCACCGTTCTTGTTGCAAATGGGCGTGTCGTTCTGTTGAGTTGGTACCCGTTTTGGGGTGGGCGGATTTTTCAGGGTGCTCTTTGTGAGGTTGGTGTATTTTTGCGGGCACTCTTTTTGAGGTTGGTGTAGTTGGAAGCCAAAAGGAGAACCCAGCCATTTTGAAGGGAACCCCAATTTTGAAACACGCCCATCCTGCCCGAAAACTGTGGTGTCCTCGACCCTGCAGATGTCCCGATTCTAGGAAGAACATTGAACCAAAATCGTCCAATGTCCCCTTGGGGGTTTTGTCCTCACTTTCTCCCCAGAGGACCTGTGCTCCTGTTGTTTTGAGGGGGAACCTCTTGAGCCTTGGGGAGTTTGCTCTATCCGTAAGGTCTTTGGGGTCTTTCATATGAAGCCGAAGAATGTCCGAACATCGGGGGATCTTCCGAAGACGCGGGGGTTTCCCAGGAGAAACCACCAGAAAACCACTGGCAAAACCCATAGGGAGCCATTTGGCTTCCCATGAGAAACCATGGGAAACCACTGCAAACCACTGGAAACCATAACAAGCCATTGGGTTTCCCCCATGAGAAGCCAGGTGTACAGGTGTATCACCAGATGTGGGCTGCGGAGAAGGAATTCTCCCTCATGGATCCCGAAAGATCCCGACATCCGCAGAGTTTGACGGCTGCCGTCCACACGAAATGTCGGGCGGACAGGGGATGTTCAAACTGATAAGGTCATCACCATGCTAAAAAAGGGACACATCCCGGGTACAATCGCCTTTACAACCTCCTTGCTGAGTGGACTCAACTTAGAATGCTCACTTGCTCAAAGCTGGCCTGTTGACCTTTATTTTTTTCAACAGGTCGTGTCAACTGAATGTTGGAGCATTCCAGTTTCACCTCACTTGTCCATGGCCGGCCTTTTCACCTTTTGGTTTGCCTTTGTTGGTCCTTGTTTGGTCCGTTTTCCCAAGCGGTTGACCTTCTTTTGGATCCTTTCGTCCAACTGAGTCACAATCAAGTCCCAGGTAATTGGAGGGTAAGGGACAATCCAGGCCATGGGTGCGGAGATCCACCGTTGGAATTCTTTACATGGCTTTGGGATTACGACCATTTTAATACCAGTCGGTTTTGATGAATGTTGACCCCGGATTCATAACCCCCTGTTTATTGATGGGGTGTTTCTCTGGGTTTTGTGGGGTGTTGAACCACTTTTGGAGGGGCCCCCAGCCACATATTAATAAACAGGGGTTTATGAATCCGGGGTCAACGTTGCTTGCTGCTGCTCAGTAGCGAATGAGGGAATGAACCTGGGCATTCCCTCTTTCAGGACACAACCAGTTTAGGGTTATTCCGAAAAAGCCGGTTGAGATGGGCTTAATTGCCGGTTACTGGGGAGGGGGGTGTTCCCCCACAGGCTTGATAGGGTCTCCTGGTTTGGACCGGGCCCCCGTCAGGTTCCATGTCTTCCATTTGCTGAAATGAATATGTTCTATTTTCCCCTGTTGGTTTCAAAGGGAATTAATTTCACTACTGGAAATATTCAATAGTTTTCTTGCAGGGATCTTAACCAAATGGAAGATGTGAAGACTTACCCTCCCACCTTTGTCACATGGAACCCGGTTTGGACCAAAGTTTCCTTCCAACTTTGGACCGGGTCCCCGCCAGCTTCCGTGTGAAAGGGGCGGGAAGACCTCCATTTGCTTAAGGCCCCAGGAAAAAAACACATATATTTCCAGCAGTGAAATCGATGCCCTTTAAACCAACAGGGGAAAATACGAATAATCTTCTCAACCAAACGGAAGTGAGAAGGGCGGGGTGTTTGCTTCCAAGTTTCAGGAGCCCAGGACTTCCCCGCCAGCATGGCCCGCGGCCTGCTGCGGTACCTCGATCGAACCTGAAGCGAGCGAGCGAGACCAAAAAGCTCGGGCGAGCCGCGTGCCCGGGGAGCGTGCGCGGGGTGGGCAGGGGGCGGTTTGAAGGCTAGATGGTTCTGTCTCTTGTTTTTGAGGCTACATGAGTCTGTCTCTCTGCTTTTTGAGGCTCTGTTTTTTTGAGGAATCGACCCCCCCCAACTGCCAGAATGGGTGGGTGTTCCTTAAAAAGCTATGAACATGGAGTCTATACCCTCCCCCCAAAAAAAAAGCACGCCCCGCTGGTAGCCAAAAGCAAAATGGTGTCCCACGCCTCAAACTTGTGGAGATCATCAGGTGACATGGGTTTTTGACAGCGCTGCCCGGGCGACCAAAGTACCGATTCATGCTATGGCAACCCTAAAGCTCCCACGAGTGGAATTTGGTTTTCCAATCAGAAGACTTTTTTTGTGTGTTTTTGTTTTAATGTAGAACGGCCCGGTTCAGCTGAGCTGGCCCCACATTCAAAAAAAATACGGGTTTGGTTGTGTTTCTGCGATAACGACACCCTTTGAAGTGGCAAAGTAGTCAAGCGGGATGTTTCGCACACTACAGTCGGTGACCAGGGCATCCACAAAATGGCATTGGTTTTCTTTTTAATTTCTCCCTTGAAGACCATCCACGGAGAACCCAGAAAGCTCCGGGGTAAATATATCCTTTTGCCGTCAAGGACCAACATCATACTGGAGATGGCAGTGGTAAGACATGGAAGCAGTTAGGAATGCCCCACTTCTGGTATGGCCCCACCCACATGCCGCCGCCAGCTTTTTGCTCGACAACATAGTGGGACACGTCAACGACGCGCGAATCCTACCAGCATATTCAGCGCCACTAGGCCTGGTGAGTCACATCCCGCCCAATGGAGTTTTTCTTCGAGGGGCTAAACAATGACCAACATGTTGCCATCCTGATGAAGACTTTAGAGTACCCGTCTCATGTTTTGGGCCCTAATGTTAACCTCGGATTAATAAACCCTGGTTGATTTTCATCGGGGGGTGTCCCCTGTTGGTGGGGATTCAGACCACTTTTGGAGGGAATACCCCCTAATACTGGGACGGGTTTATTAATCCTGGGTCAACGTGAAATTGTGGATGGAGCTGACCCCTGAAATTTCATCTAGAGTTGCCTTGGTGGCTCCCGAAGGCCATCCGGTTCCTTAGCCTTTTAGCTTTTTAGTGTTTTAGTGGTAGTTTCCATTACACCACTAAAAGTTAACTTTTAGCAGGCGTGTTTCTTTCCACCGATGCCTTTTTTTCTCGCCTCTGACCGAAGTTGGAGGCTGTTCGAGTGCAAATTGTTTGGTCAGTGGAGATGTTGGCGAGGACCCTCAAGTGTGGCCCACCCAGCTGGAAAGTCTCCAAATATGGGCAAACTGTACCTATTGGTTGGGGAACTGATTGTTACTTGTTTTAAGTGTTTTAAATGATCCAGTGTTTTTTCGGCGATGACACTGGCAAATCGAACTCCAGCTTGATTCGGAGAGGGTGTGAAGAATGACTTCCTTCACAAAGCTTCAGAATGGCTGCGAGTGGTGGATGGAAGAACCCCAGAAATGGGTCCAAACAGCTTGGACTGCTGCCCCCTCGTGTTTGTTCACCTTGCACCCACATACAAAAAGTAGAAGCGGGAGGTTGACAGTGACAGCACAGGCCCATTCCCCCCCTTCTCCCCACCGCCACCACTTGATCGATCCATCCGTGAACTGGCAGTAAGACACGGCTGGAGGAAATGAGGGTTTGGTCGATACCAAGTAAACCGCTTGAAAGTGGCAACGCAGTCATTTTGGAGTGACTTGATGCCCCTGCGCACAGAAGGTTACCCTAGCATTCGGAACCTGCCTGGTCCGGGAAGAGAATGTGCCCAAAGTACTATGATGGGGTCGATGTTAGTGAGTCATGGCTGCTTGGTTGGGTCTGTAGACTTGAGTCTGAAAAGAAGCTTTTGGGAAAGAATGAATTGTGTCGCTCAACCTGTCAACTCGTTATCCTTTTTTGGGCAGGGAGTAACCATCAAGTGATTGTCAGGGGATATGGCTGGCCCTCCTGTTTGGTTCATTCTATGTTAAGGCCTCCAACACTGGCTTAGTCTCTTCCAACACAATGTTGTTTTTAGGAGCGACTGGCTATGAAACTGAATCTGGGCATATGGGTATGGGTCAAAATTAAACCACCAGGGGACCGGGTTTTAGTCCAGGTTTCCATTTACCAGGGTTCCATTTTGGGTACCTATTTTTGGACCCACAGCCATATTATTTTCTGTGCAGCCCGGATGTGGGCCACGAAGTGATGTACTGAGGCTCAGTGTTGGGAAGAGCCCATCTGAAGATGCTGGCCACTGCCACCTCGGCTGCAGAAGCTTCATGGACGCCCAATCCCACCTACCCAGAGGGTTGTTTTTGTTCTAGGCAGCACTGTCCTTGGTTTGTCAAAAAATTAAGAAAAAAGCCGATGCAAGCCCTTTCCCATGCTTGTTTGTTTTGGTTTGTTAGAGCGTGTGTTTCATTTGAACCATTGGGCGTTATTGGGTTGTGATCTAAATGTATGCGTCAACCTTATGTGTTCAACCATTGGGATGGTTTCAGTTCAGCAAAAGTCAATGTAAGCCAGCCCTTTTTGTGTGTGTGTGTGTGTGCTGTTCTGAAGAAACGCTAGCTTTGCTCTGTTAATACAGTCATAGGTTTGGTTGGGTTAAGCAATTTGTCAATGTCGCCCCTATGCTCCAAATACCCGCTTGTGTCAGGGTCTATTTTTGAAAAGCCAGATTTTCTCTGAGAGTAGATACCCTCTTGGGTCATACCAATCATACCCGTGAGAGGGAGTTTGGCGGGGGGAAGCACCGTAAACACAGACGTCTAGGTGTTCCAGTAGTGCCCTTTTACCCTTTTTGGGGGGACGGTACTAGAATAGACTACAGAAAAAAGTTGGTACCCTTATTCTAACCTCTCTACTGGAGGAGCTAGGCATGGAAGGGCTGTGAGTGAGGCATGAGGGTGGTGATTTTTTCATTTGTGGCCCACAGCTCCCAATAGTCACTATTGGAAGCTCAATGCTATGGCTGTGAAGCAAGAAAAGATCGCTTCGAAGCGTGAATGTTCTCCTAAAGGAAGCCAAAAGGGATGGGTCATTTGGTAGTTGTTCAACTGTCTCAGAGCCCCTACCCATGGGTATGGGTCAAAACTACACCAAAACCACAGGTTTTGGTCATTGTTTCCATTTACCAGGGTGCAATTTGGGGGTTCCCATCTAGTTTCGACAACCACAGCCACATATTGCACAGGTGCTTGGAACTAACTGTTTTCCAACTAATGGGTTTTCCATTAAACCACTAAAAGTTAGTCTTTTAGCAGGGGAGCAGAAAGCAACCGAGAATTGTCCAGACCCACAGCCGCATGTTGCCCATCCCAGGTGAAGAACACATTCCTTCAATGGCACGCCACGGAGACCACGGCGAAGACCCCCACACGCGCACGCTCCGCCCCCTGGCGCTGAAAACTGGGCGCGGAGGAAAGCCGAAGCCAGTGGCCTTTTCGGTTGGCCCAATTCCGGGTGTCCGAAAGCCGACCTTTGCAACTTTTGGGGCTCCTGGACCCCCATCCCTTAGCCTCCCCCAGAATACCACGCCTTGTCAAAGAGCGAAAGTGGCCCTGCAAGGCATGGTGCCTGATTTTGCTGAGAGGCACCTCATCTTTGGGAACGTCGGTTTTTTTCAGGGGCACGGTGCCTCCGCTTTTCTGGAGCCCGCAAAATCGAAAGGATGCGTGGCCAGAGTTCCGACGGGTCCCTAATAAGAATTTACACTGATTCCTATTCAGGGAATCATGATCATAGGTCATACAAGGAGTTTTGACCATGGTCGAGTTTTGACCATGGCTCATACTGGCAAAACCACAGAGGTAAGTGGCTTGGGCCGAAACTCTAATCCCGAAATACGGGCCTTGGGTGCGTCTCTCTAGAAAGCCGGGTTTGGGGTGAATACTCCGCTTTGGTGGGGCGTGGCTTCCTTTTTTGGGGGGGCATGGCTTCCTTGAGGGCGTGCTTTTTCAGATTTGCTGAATCCAAGTCGCTGGGTTTTTCGGCAAATCGAACTTGCCTGAGGCCGATTCCTGGAGGCCTGCCCGTGACGATGCCTGTGCACCTTGGAAGATACTTATGGGTGTGGCTCAAAATTAAGCAGGAGGGGGTTACGCAGATGTTGGTCCATGTTTTCACTTGCCAGGGTTCCATTTTGGTACCGGTTTTTTGAGCCACAGCCACTTATCTAGGTCCCGCAATTGGTGCCCTTTCTCACCGTTTCTTTTTGGGTAGGGTTCCCCTACTAAAATGGCTGCTCAAGAAAGTGATACCAAATGGCACCTTGGTAAATGGAACCAAAGGCTAAAACAAAAGCGTAACCCCAGCCCTTTAATTTTGAGCCCATTGGTGTCATTTTTAGGTTAGTTTGGTTGAAAATAGAAGGCACTGGTTCAGATGGGTTTTATTCCATTTACCAGGACCATCTATTTGTCCAAAAGGGCACCTATGTTTGAGCCATACCCTAATAAACCACAGAAAAAAGTTGGTACCAACTTATTCTAACCTCTCAAATCTGGAGGACCTAGTTATGGGTGTTCACAGGCTTTGGCCCGGCAGCTTCAGTCCATCCGTGGAGACCCATGCGATGGTGGCTAGGTAGCTGTCAAATATGTAAATATATACCTCATGCTTGAAGGTAGCGTGGTTTGGGGTGGAAGTTTTTGTTTAGATTCACCTTGAAGCCAGCTGACCCAGACCTGTGGTCGCGTATCGTGCTTGTTTTTCTTTGCTTTGGTGGCGGTGTCCCTTGAAAATCACCTACCCTCCGGTCAACAAACGCATACAAATCCGCCAAGCTTCCTTTTGCCTCGCTTTAGGTGCCCTCAAGCAAAAGAGAGATGTATTCCCGTGTGTTGTCTTCGTGTGGTGGCTGGAACCCAAATGAAAAGCTATTAAAACCACTGTTGGGATTGGCCAACACTGCATTTTGAACAGTCCAGAGTGGAGAATTACTCGATTCCAGGGCCGAAGAGGGCAAGGAAACCTCACTGTCGCAACAAAAAAAGAAAAAAGTAGAACCCTTGCATCTAAACCCACAAAAACGAAAAATCGAAACAAACAAAAAGAGGGGGGGAAAAACAAAAACAAGTAGAACCCTTAGATGTAAAACCCAAAAAAAGAAGAAACACAAGTAGTCTATGTTCTTTGCTCCCGACTTCGCGCGAGCTCCACGCAAAACCGTCAGTACCAAACATTAGGGCCGGCTGATGTGATTTGACATCTTCGACGCAGAATATTGGAACGTAGAACACAGAAACTAGGTCCCCCAGCAATTGGTGCCCGTTCTCACCGTTTCTTGTTTGGGGGAGGCTTCCCCTACTGAAGTAAGACTACAGAGAAAAAGTTGGTACCCTTGTTCTAACCTATCTACTGGAGGACCTAGCAAAATAATATGGTGTTTGGTTCCTTGTTCTTTGCGGACTCTGGTCCATGCGGGTTCCACGAATAGATATAAGTAAACAAAAACAACCCGCCGGGTCGTTCTCCGTCGGTCACGTTTGTCCGGAATTTGCGTGTCGCCTAGCGTTCTCGCCCTTTTTCAACCGCAAAAAAGGGCTTCCTGCGCACGGTCGTTTCGGTGCCACCATGTCTTGAAAACATTGGCACGAGTGGGTCATCACGCACCTCGGTTGCGTTTTTTTGTTCTTTGGTGGATTCCTTTGAAACCTTGCTTGAATGCTGCGCAATGGTTTTGCATGGGGGAATTCTCAATGTTTTTGGCCGCAGCCATCTTCAGTGATCAAAAACACATGTTTCCGGCGACCCCACATGTTTCGTGTTGTTTGGGCTTGGCGCCCCTGGTTTATGAGCATTGTGAAAAGCATTGCCTTCAGATACTCTCAACCTTTGTTCCGGTTTCAGCGAACCTTTAAAAAGGTAGACACTTCTTGGGTAAGGGGCAAGAGGGTCCTTGCTTTGCATGCTGGTTTTCAGGCTGGCTCTTGTTTCCCCAAAAGGGAACCTCCGTGTTTAAGACTACCCTTGGTAGTCAAAGACAAGCTCCGTAGACTTACAGGCTCAGTTGTTCACTGGCACCATTTTTTTTCCTCTTTCTTTTGGGTGGCTTTACTAAAAATGGTCTTCCCCAAGAAGGGTTTCCCTTTTTTCCAGGTTTTAGTGGTAGTGTCCATTTGACCCGCCAAAAGTTTGTCCAACTAGCGGATCTTTTACAACGGGGCCCAGAGGCCCGACGGGACTGCTCAGGCGGAGAAGCTGAACCGTCTGCTGGAGGAGCCTCATGCGAGGCGCCAGTTGCTGCGACCGCTGCCGGAGCACGCCGGCGGCAAAAAAAAAAGAAGCCCGGGAAATCCTCCAAGTTCCTTCGATATAGACGACTACATATCTAGACTTTGTGCAGCGCCCCTAGCGACTATATATATATATATTATATGATATATGTATAATATATGTTTATATATGATATTATATATAGAGAGAGATATGTATACATAGTGTGCAGCGTCCCTAACCCCTCCCCCCATCCCCCATCCATGGTCATAGGTCATACAGGTAGCCCTCCCCCCCCCCCCCCGGCCGTTTTCCGTGGTCCTGTGGTCCTGCTATGATTGTGTTTTGGGTCGGAAAAGCATACCATGCTTTCCCTCTCTCTCATTCTCTCTGTCTCTCTCTCTCTCTCTCCCTCTCTCTCTAGGCGTCACTAGCAGTTGCAAATGTCCTTGCTTTTGCTGCAAACACCAAGGCATTGCGTCTAGGCATGGCTTCGGATATTCCTGCCTCATGCTGAGGTCATGTTGATTTCAATTAAGCTTTGTCAGGCCCAGACTGTGTCTTTCGGCGCCTGTCAGAAGCTGGGACGGAGTGGCCAGTGGTCCTGTGGGTTTGTTGCTGGGTTGCGGTGCGGGGTTGGTTTAGGATGGGTTTGCGGCTGGTTTGGGGCTGGTTTAAGGTTTGTTCGGGCTGGCTCTGGGTTAGAGTTGGATTTGGGTTAGTTTAGAGTTGGTTTAGTCAAGAAATAACGACCCCTTAGCCCCCAAAGGCATGGTAACTTGCCTAGTTGTGTGGTCACTGATGTGAGGTTTGCATGAGGCCACTTTGGTTTAGGTTGAGGGTTGCATGTCATGACAGACTTGTCAAACGGCAAACGCCGTTTGGCTCAAGCGCTCACTGAAAAAGGGCGCTGAGTGCGGAACTAGAGTGTAGAGACAACCCCCTGAACCGCTGAGGGATTAACCACGGTCAATCCACCTCTTTTTGTTCAGGGCGCAGCCTTCGGCGCGCGTTTGGGGTTTCTTGCTCTTTTGATTGGTTATCAGCCGTATAGCCTTTCTTTCGGGATTAACTAGGCCCTCCCTCAGCGGTTCCCCCATAAGGGGGCGCGCATGGCCGTCGAGGAAGAGTACCACAAACGTGGTACCCGTGGAGGAGCCGCAAACAAGAAGCGAGTGTGGTGGGAGCTCCAGGAGGACGTGATCGACGAGGTCCAGCAGCGTTTTGGGTTTACACCACCCAAGTTGCAGTGGGAACAGGGATCAGAGGTGCAGCTTGCTGCCCTTCGGGCCTGGAACCGGGACGTCACCGAGCAGCGCTGGGAGGAGCTTCACAGGTGGCATCAGCCTACGGCCCTTCGCATCCGGGCAATCCGCGAAGAAGAACGGAGGGCCGCAGCCACTGGCGCGGCAGGTGCAGATCCAGTGCCTGCCACTCCCTCGTCTCCGACTCCATCTACACCACCTCAGCAGCAGCAGGCGGCGCATCCTTCCGTGGCCCAGCAGGCTTCACCTGCTGAGGCTTGGTTGTCTGCTCCGGCTTTGCCTACAGCGAGGACCGCAGCCCACGGCGCGGTGGCTGGTACAGCTCCGAGGAGAAGGACATCTACGACCTCCCCACGGTCAGTGTCAAGGCAAGTTCTGCGAGCAGTTTATCCCCAAGTACCCATCGTGCTTAGGTCTCGCTCTCGGTCAAGAACTCCGACACCGATCCAGGAGGCCGCAGCCCTCGGCGCGGCAGGCGAGTCGAGCAGTCGGGAGCCTTCGGGAACCCGCAGAACTCCTCGCCCGACGACCAGTCGATCCTCGCGTGGCAGATCAAGGAGTGTGCCCTCGCCAACCGACAGGCCGATCGTGCTGGCGCCAAGGAGCTCGGCCTATCCGACGGTCCGCATCGACCGGACCGGCACGTGGACACTGCAGAGGGAGCAGCCCTCCGGCGCTCCACGGGCATTTGCAGGCCGAGCCCGATCACGTTTACCGCAGTTCAGTGATCCTCACGAGCTGCCAACGGACGTGTGGCTCCGCCCCGAGGCCTACGGGGAAAGGTCCAGTTCCTCGACCCCAAACTACGGGAACGCGGAGGTCTATCATCTGGCAGACTACTCCGACGGGGATACAGCGCACAACACCGAAGATCTGCTTTCAGGCAGAGCAGCATTCCGGGCGGGTGGGGTATACGAAGCACCGTTTCATAGACCTACATCGCCGGCCCCACCTCCGGCCCCTGCTACGAAAGCCACAGCAAAGTGCGGGACGCGGCCAGCGGCGTGGGGAACAGTTGGAGCATTTTTGGCAAGCAGTCGCGGACGTGTTTTGAGCAAAGCAAGATCTTCTTCGCCCCCACGCTCAGCAGCACCGCCAGCCAGAAAGGCTTCTGTCCCTGCAAGCAGCCGGCCTGGCCCACACATCAGGTACAAGCAGCCGCCGGCATCGTTGAGGTTGCCACCAAGAGGGCAGGGAGCAGCCTTTGGCGCTCCAGACCCACCTTGGCGACAACCGCCAAAGCGAGAGCCACCGCAGCCTCCTCCACCAAGGCGAGAAAGCCACGGGATCCCAGATCCCCCACCTCGGACACCCCTCGCGGACCGGAAGACGCTCAACATCGTCCTGGACTGGCACGGGGTGCTCGACGTGAACATCCGCTCTGGGGGAAGGCTTCACCCACAGATCGTGGACGGATTGATTCGTCTACAGACAGCCCACGGTCCGTTCAATTGGATTATTTGCAGCTATTGCGGGGTCGAGCGCGAACGAACTACGGCACCGGAGATCGCCACAGCAAGGGTACACTTGGCTTACAAGGGCATCTACGTGGGTACAACGCAGTTCACGCGCTCCAGGGTTGGCGTTGCTGGCAAAGCAAACCTATTGCACGGTTGGGCAGCACACATCCTTGTGGACGACAACGCCACAATCTGTCGTGAGGCGCGACTTACAGGCGCGCACGCTTTCCGGGCGTACCCCAGCCAGGGGGTGCAAGGGACTCTGGACGCGTTGGTTGCCATTGAGCAGTGGTTGGATCAAACCGACCGAGCGACCATTCAGCCTGCCCGTGCACTTACTACCGCAGAGCTCCTTGAGGAGGTTCGCAGGTAGCAGATCACCTGGTGCTCACGACAGGGGTGCAGCCGTTGGCGCACCTAGGATATTTTCTCAACCTGTGCAGGGGGCAGCCGTTGGCGCCCCGAAGAACTGTGGCGCAAAGACGCACGAAGTCACACATTTCCAATTGCACACAACTGCATTGGTGAGCCTTCACATTTGCATCCAAATTGCAAGCAAAAGTTTAGGTTCAAAGGAGATTCCCCATTATCAATTAGTGAGGTATATCAATCCTTGTGTGACTGAGTGTGTTGCTGCATCATTCAATAATCTGTTTTGAGTGTAGCCGTAAGTGCACATCTCATAATCCCACCAGGCACAAATCACCGGCCTTGGAGAGTGCTGCCTTTGGCGCACTGACTTGGTTCGCGTGTGCAGGAAAAGCTATCGCATCCGTGCGGCTCAGGCATGAATCCCTCTGGCATTACACCCCCATCCGAAGATAGGTCTAGATCCTCACATGGCACAGACTATGATGACCCAGACCTTGCGGGTGCAATGGTGCCAGCCATGTCTGTTGTTAGGCATAACCCTAATAGCCCTGCACCAGATTCCGATGCAACCCCGGTTAGGCGCATTTTCGTTTCAGAACCATCCTCATCAGAGCCGGCTGGAACGCCCGATCCAACCCGGAACCTCCCAGCTGCTGCATTTGTTGCAGGTGCCGCCGTTCAACGTGCCCACCATGCTTCCGATGTCGCGCTTCAGGCCGCTGAACATGCACAGCAACAGCAACTGCTGGCTGAGCAGGCCCGAAGGGAGGCGGGGGAACTCCGGGAAGCCGCCCAACAAAGGGAAGGGTTGTTTAGGCATCAGGCAATGAACCTTGTAACCCAAGCTCAACAGGCCGTGAATTATGCACGTGAGCACGAGCTCAATGCGAGGCAGCAAGCCATTGGCGCTGCGGAGCAAGAAGAGGCAACCAGGCAACAGGCCGAGGTGCTTAGGCTTCAGGCGCAAACAGTCGTTTCCGAGGCCCATGAAGAGGTAGGTCAGACTAGGGCTTTAGCTGAAAGGTACGCGGCAGAGGTTCGCAACAGAGCTAATGCTGAACAGGCCCAGGCCCAGGCTCAGACCCAATACCTTTATCAAGAAGCACAACGTGCCGTAGCCGAACGTGATGCCACCATTCTAGCTCTGCAAGAGAAGGATTTGCAACAAGCGTCTAGGTTAGCCGAACTTGAAAGGACGGTTTCCCTTTTGCTTGAAGTCCGTCAGCCTTCGACTCGCTCGCCGCAAAGTGCCCCGCAAGCACAAACCGATAATGGTACGGATTCTAATACCCCTCAACCCAAAGGGTCGCATACCCGGAGCTCCCCCATTTTGGGTGGACAGGATGTGTCAATGGGTAACCAAACGGGGGCTTCATCCAGTGGATTGCAAGACCAAGCAAACCAGCAGAGTGGACTTGATAGATCCTCACAACAGGGTTTAGATAGTGCCGCACCTCAAGTGGGTCCTCATCATACAACTGGTGTTGACTCGGGCGCCCAGCCCGGTGCTTCCTCTGCCAACCTGCATGTCACATTCCAAGATGTTGCAACCCCACGTGATGTTGCCGCAGGAAGTGTGGGACTCGCAAAGAGCCTTGCCCCTACCGGCCCAACACAGGACATCGCAGGAAGTGCGGGACTCGCAAAGGGTTCTGCCCCTACCGATTCAGGGCAATGTGCCGAAGCAGCGATCCCCAAAGGAAGTGCCACGTCCGCAAAGGGCGCAGCCCTACTGGCGCATTCGATGTAGGTGCAGGTGCCGCAAGCAACAGTGCTGTGTCCGCCAAAGGCGCAGCCGTTGGCGCGCAGAGCAGTAGTCAGGGTGAGAAAAGTGAGATAGCAGATGTTAAGCAGCAAATTGCTTCCCTAGCCTCAATGGTGCATCAGCTCAGCACTTTGGTCGCGGCACAAAGCGTGGCTCCTCCTCCAATGGCTTCAGCTCCCTGC